CAATACTACAGCGAGAATAAAAGTTCCGCCTTCTTTCTTTGCGTGAACATTTGGGTGGCGTTATGCAAATCTTAGTATAGGAAATTATGATCCGCACTCACGAGAATAATCTTCTTTTTTCTTTTCTTTTACATTCATTTCTGATGGGAAAAGACACAAACGTTTCGGCTCAAAGCCTTCCTCAGTGGTGACATGCAACATGCAACTGCATATTTTTGTGAGATTCATCCATTTACGTTTTACTTCTATATCATACTAGCCTAATTTATATTCATGTTCTCACATATTTAACCAAGACAAATGAAACCCTGAAAAGAATCAGCCATGGACAATGTTCCTGTGCACAGCTTTTTAGCTCTTGATGTACATTTCTCTTAGTCCAAGTCTATAAACATGTTTCTGGAGAGGCGTCAGAGAGACAGGCCACCTGCTGCCCTACACCAGAGTAGTTTCTGCAGCTGTGGGGACTTGTGCAGCTGGGACGTCCCAGTAATGCACTTTTGTTCAAGGCCTGTAGAGCACAGGGTGGGCAGCCAGACCAGCTAAGTCTCCGATGTCAGTATATCGCTCAGTAACAGCACTGAGTCTTTTTGCATGTATTCCTAGCATGTATATCATGCCATTTCAGTCCCACAGGGGCATCATGAAGCTGCATGATCAGAATGCTGCTGACATGAACAGCGGTACACAGAGTGGAGATATTCCTTTGACATTTCAGGAAGGTTCTTCCAGCATCTGCAGCTGTTTGGAAAAAGTATAAAGTATGGAATGTAAATTGTTTCATTGAAGGCAAAACTCCAAAAATGCAGTTTTATTTCTCTGTGGTTTTCACTGCTATGTGCTGTTGAAATGTTTATTTTTGCAAATGTACTTTTAAAGCTTTTTTCCACCCTGGGAGAACGTTGGAAGAAGCCCTTTGCAAGCCGATTGAGTCTTTCTAGATCTAAAACACATATGCAAAAACTCAACATGAAAGTTCACTTTGTTTCAGTCTTTGAGTTATTGTGTTATTCACTTTATGAGTAAACTAAACTAAACAGCCCATAGTTTGTCAAGTGCTGAAAATCAATCTTTCATTGTGTACAGTAAATCTTGTTGCTGGTAGTTTTAAATGTAAAAGCTACTAGTAATTGAAACCATATGATGAAACAACATTTAAAAATCATTTTAATTTTACTACTTACGCAACTGATGTTTTTCAGAATTAAACTAGACATAAGCGAGAATATGGACTAGCATGTCTGATCCATCAGGATTTAATTGGATTGTGGAAAATGGGTGTTATGAGCCATAATGGAGACAGATGGATGGAGGGGGG